CTTGCACCTCTTATTACAGGAGGTCCCCGGGTTACGAATAGGTCCCGTTCCTGACGATGTTCGTAAGTAGGATTTGTATGTAAGTCGGAACACATGCTATGTGCATACCATACTTGCAAAAAAACAATTAAAACTCCACTATATCATAGCTTTAATTTAAGACAAAAGAAGAAATAGAATGACAAAATACAGTAAATAAAAGTAAAAAATAAGTCATCAGATAAATAAAATATTGTAAATTTCAAGTTCAATCCCGTTCATATCGGCAGGCGTTCATAAGTCAGAGACCTCCAGTATACAAAAGCTTTTTTTTCCTTTTAAGAAAATGGCCAAATGACCCTGGCAGGCAATGTGCCACATTTATGCTTTATTATTTTTTTTGTGTGTGTTAGGATCTAAATTACAGTAGTTACGTGAGCTTTTTTCTTGTTTGTGAACCAATTTAATTTTTTTTAGAGACTGTATGCAACTAGAGTTTTTGTGTAGTTAGTTAGTAAATTATTACAGTAGTTAGGTACAAATTTATATTAAGTAGGTTATTTTGTTACCTGTATTTGTGAACCTATTTAATGTTTTTCAAGATATGATATAGGGGGTTTTCTTGTCGTTGCAAAACTTGAGTCCTATTTTTCCAAAATGTTATGTTATTCAAGATATGAAAATTCACCTTAACGAATAGTTTTCAAGGAACCTAACCCATTCATAAAGCCAGGGATACCTATAAGCTGCTTCCATATATGACCAGTAACTGTGAGGTAACACCCTGGGAGAACACTATAGCTAGGAGCCACTCTAAGGAACTTATATAAGCCACTGTTATAGACCTCTCAATATCATATTCTAATACATAAATACTGATTACATATTGCACACAATTTTTTTTCAAACTGTCCCCATTTCCTAGAGATCATTATACACACAGATATGCCTTTTTCAGCCAGTTTCTTCATGCTTCTGAAAATGTTGGTTCACTGTTAAACATCAAACAGTACACATCACACAGCAATTACTATTCCTCACATAATGGAACATACACCAGAACTTGAATAAGCTTCAAGCATGAAGAGATTGGAGTATAATAATTTTATTTAATGAAAACTAAGATCACTACATAATTCCAATACAAACTTCACACACTAACATTTCTTGACTCAGTGCTATCTTTAGGCATAGGCCAACTGAGCACTGCCCCAAGGTTTAAGGGGCCCCTGGGCCCCAAAGTTTTTTCCTAAATTTGTTGATGAAATATATACACTGTATACCGTTTGTGAACTTGATATCTTTTGTAAAATGTATAAAGAAGAAAGTAATCAATGCAAGGAAAACTTAAACCAAGAAACTTTCTAAAATAAGTAAAATCACACACAACTGGAATGGCCTTGACTACGCTTTATACAGCTAAGTATATTCAGGATGCAACATCAAAGAATTGCCACCAATGGTTAAACATTTTCTTTGCTCCCTCGCTCTCTCTTTGACCTGCAGTTTTGTACTGGTTTAAATCAATATTTCTTGTCAAAATTCCTAAACTTTATTTTCTATTTCCTAGCCTCCTCACTGTACCTTTACAAAACTCATTTGGTTTAGATATGTGAAGTGTGTCATAAGAAGAAAATGGTACTACAGTATCTTGTAATTCAGAAAGAAATACCATCAGGAAAATAAATCATCAAATGTGAATAAATGAGAACATGGCATTGGGCATCCCGGATTGAAGCTACAGCAACAATATGGAGCAAGCAGGGAAGAATCTTTGAAACCTTTCAGTCAGTCATATGGCACAAATCTCTTGGTCAGTCATATGGCACAAATCACTAAAGTAAAACTAAACACAAATCAGGTGTGAAGAAATATGGAACACGTCAACTGTTACACCTGGAGCTTGGGTTCCAACATCACCATCAGAGACTTATACAGTAATGTACTGTACAACTATATACATGGATGGACAATTCAAGAACATAATTCCTCTGGCAGATATATAAAAATTACATCATCAATGCCAATTTACTGAATTCTGGTGTTTGCAGAGTTACATAAGCACCAGATCATCCAAATATTTTTAATGACTCAGCAGATGACACAACAAAACAATACTGTGAGAAACTAATGGCTGTATTGCTTCTAAAGTCAATAAGGGACATAACCTAACTCACTTAAAAACTCCATAATTCAACGTCTCGGCATACACAAGACTCTGAGTTAGCTGGGTGACTGCCTGCCTGAACTGTGTTGCATCAGAGCTATTTTTTGTAGATAAAATGTGTGCTATTGTATTTTATGATGAGCCATGTATCAACTTTATTGTTTATTTAACAGTGTTTGTTCATTTTTGATGTATGCAAAATACAGAATAATGAGGGACTGGAACCTATTCCCATTTACTCCATATTAATTTTACCTCTGATAATGAAGCTTCCAAACAACGAAGAGGATTTTGTGAACACATCCATTTCGTTGCCAGAGGTATACCTGCACAGTAATAATATCCCATAAAAAGATGACACTTCTTATTAATAATAATAATAGGTAAGATTTTCTATTTGTTTGGCGATACACACGAACCAACAAAACGACCTAACGAGCCTAGGATAGAAGTCTATTGATATTATTTTAAGGTATTTGGTATGTGAGAGCAATTGACAGACAATTCGTATGGAGGGAAAATTCGATTGGTTAATAGGTCGGTGTAGATTGCGTTTGTCATTTGTCACGAGCAACATGGTATCATGACTCAAGTGATGGCAAAATGCTATGGATACGCTTCTAATCTGCAGAGCTGCTTTGTATTGTGTGAGAGCACCCAGCAACACCAGGTGATGGGTGACACACTCAGTATAGCTGCACTGAGAGCCAACACTAAGCTGCCAAGAGTGCATGAGAAAATGAGGAAAAAAAAAAATTTTCCACATGATAAAACCCTAAAAGGCAAAAAAAAAAAAAATAAATAAAAAAATCATAAGGTATATAAAAACCCTGAGGGTGTTAAGTCTAGACTAAAAATTACAGCATGTTTGGTATTCTTAGGTAGCTTGAGTCGGAATCAACCGTCCTCTGGAATTTTCTACCTCGCAATAGACAATACAGACCCCCCCCCCACACAACCCGGAAAAGCCTCCCCCCCCCAAGATTAGAGAAAGTTTACTGTATAACCTTAAAAATAAAAAAAATTAATACTACAAATGTACATTTCAAAGATAATTGTTCCTTAGGAAAGAAAATCATAGGGGAACTGTTTAACTTAGGCAATTTAAGATATAGGCCAGAGTAAGATTTGATAGCACTGATGAGGAAGCTGCTGCTGTTTAATTTTTCCCCCTAGATATTCCATGCTAAGTTAGGGGTGGGTCTTCCATGGTGGTGCACAAAATATGCCAGAAAATATGGTAACTTTTGGTTTCTCGCCTTGTTTCCAAACTACAGTAGAATGCTGGTTATCTGGGGTTTGGGTAACCGGCAGATTTAACTAACCAACACCAAAATGAAATAATAAACATAATAAATTTTTTTTTCCCAAAATCAGCTACTATCCTAAGATCAAATACCGTGTGCAATGGGGATGAGCTGCCATATTTATTGCTATGATAAACAATAAGATTGATGCATAGCATAAAATAAAATACAATAGGACACATTTTACTTACAAAATTTGCTCCTTCCAACCCAAACATCCTCTGGGTGAGGCAACCCACTTCAGCCAAGCAGTCAACCAGCTGACTCACAGACATGTGGCTGCCATGCTGCACTGTGTGCATGCCATGACGTCACGTTGGGGGGAGGGAGCATGGCAATGCAGTTACAGCCCAACGTTCACTTCTCTCAAATAAACACCTGTATTCTTCAGTTTTCATATTTTAGAGTTTTTATTTTCTTTATTTCTAAGCCACTTCATTTATTTAGAGTGGAAGAATAAGTGTTAAAGAACTCAAGATCTCTCTCTCTCTTAGTTATGAATTTGCAAGGTCAGCCAGCAGCACTGTGCATAGTAGGATTTATTGGGGGATCCTAAGAGTGAGGTTCAACTAACCAGAAAATCTCTGTTCCAGATAACTGGGATTCTACTGTATTGTATAAGGACTTCAAATTATAACTTATACAAAAAAGGATTATGATCCTACCATATACTGTACAGTATTTTACCTACTGCGGGCAAAGAACTCGCCTCCACTGTAATTTTTGCTATACTGTACATGTACCTCTACTGTAGATTCTATTTCTTGTACAAAAATATAATTGCCAATGCTTGCCAAATTCTGTGAGACGATGTCACACCGTTCAGGAAATTAACAAAACTGTTTATTGGAAGTGATAACAAATACTGTTACAAGAGGAATCAATAAAATAATGATCCCACACCAAGATCAAAATCAATGAGGTTAATCAACTGTGTAGCTACTGGTATATAAAGTAATGAAGACAGGTTGGTTCATATGCCTGAGGTTTCTTCGGGTGTGAGCAGACAGGGTCAACAGATTAATCTCACACCTAAATACTCAGTGTACAGGGAACAATATAATTTCCTAAAAATTCATTGATAAAACAAAGATTCATGGAGGTACTAAGTCATCTAGACCCCATGTTTATATAGCAGATCCCATTTCAAGAGACATGTATAAAGTACAGTACAGGTACTAGGAATACTGATAGTTTACAAGAACACAAATTACAACAAACCTGAATGTTTCTCATGCCCTTGAGCTGTAGGAGACATTTTTCTCCAATATCTTTATAGTACACATGTCATTACTAACAAGTGAGGAAGTCTGAGGGATATTTAAAAAAATATTTTCCATACTCTTACAAATGGTTTAACAATGATTGAATACAAAAACAATGCTGTACAGTAGTATAGTTTAAAACATAATATTTACAAACTACATAACCTGCCTTATTTCAGCATCACGGCGAGAATGACCAATTTTCAAAGCCCGAGTACGATGCATTCTACAATAAGGAATACAGCATAATAAATAAGGCTCTCACATATCATTTGTACTCACATTTAGGTACGGTCCCTGATACTCTTCTTCTAAGAGAGGTTCGGGCTCGGGCTCTGCTTCACGTTCTGGCTCCGGCTCAGGATCAGGGTCATCGGGGTCAGACATGGACTGAGAGTCGCTACTGTCTGTCCGCCGAAGTCTTTTTCTGGGTCTCCTTCGATCATCGATGGATGCTTGTCTCTTACCTCTAATATCTTCATTTTGGGAATCAATGTCATTTGGCAAAGAACTACAGTTTGACGACACTTCCATTTCATCTGTTGAGGCAACAACACATTTAACACACAACTAATAAACTATAGGGAAAGAGAAGAACCAAAAATTATAAGTGAGGACTGGCTGTCAGCTGGTGAGAGAAAACCCTACTTAGTGCTATGAAGGCAGCTGGGTATTGAGTGTACTGTATTGGCAAGTTTTGTGTGGAGGCAGGCAGGGATGGTTTGGGCATGTGGAGAGAGTGGAGTAGACCATTAGGTCAAGAGATATATGAGTATGAAAGTGGAAAGGAGGGAAAGTCAAGGGTAGGCCAAGAATGACACTGGGAGAGGTTGTGAGCAATGACTTCTGAGAAAAGAACCTAATGAACAAGGGTGCAAAAGATCATGCAGCTTGGAAAGCTGCTATCGGGTAATCACGACTAACAGCAAGTTTTGATCCCTGAATAAAGGGAAAAGTGAAAATGAAAAAATTACAGAAAAACAGATCTGTCTGCAATGTATGTTAAGGAAAATGCTTAACAGTCACTATTAACTGAAATATTGAAAAAATAAAAGCAGTATAAGGGAAAGTAATAGCGTGGGCTCAGGAAAGGAGGAGGATGTTTGGACCAACTGTTCCAAATAACCCTTAAATGGTTGCCATCATCATCTGTGGAAATTAGGCATCATCTGTGGGAGTTTCATGTTTCCAGCATTCCATTTGAATTATAGGTTCATGTGCAGCCATCAAATCCAGGTTAAGAAACCCAAAGGAAAGGTTTTAGGAAAAGTAATAGAATTTGTTTGTGGCAATTATAGAATTATAGCTTTGATAAAGCATACGATAAGAGTTGAAAGAAAGGTAATGTGGGAAGTACTGAAAATGTATGGGATAATTGGGGTATTGATGTATGCTGTTCACATTCATAAGGAGAGTGAAGCATACTGGAGTGTGCCAGGAAAAGGGACACTGGCTCTAAATGAACATAATCCCATATAAACAAGGCCACCCTGCACACTACAGTAAACCCTTGCCATTCACAGTTCATTCCCTAAAAATGAATAATAATAAAAGAGAAAATAATATTGGTTGGAGATACAAAAAGTGGGCTCTATATTACATAAACACTTCTTTCCTTTCTCAAAGCTCATGCATGAGCTTATATACAAAATTCTTCTTCGAATTAACTTGTGATTATCATTGCTTTACTTCATTTATTATATTTGAAAGACAATGGTGACTCTTGGTGATATTAGTCTATATCTTGACTAAATGTGTTATTTACAAAAAAGACAAAACTCACCAAAGAGTCTAAGTGGGTACCTCGGTAGATCTTCTTCTATTGTGTTGAGGCAAGTCACATCTGTGCAACTCAAATCATCATTTTCTACTTCGTTTCCTCCAGAATCTGAGAAAGATAAAGTACAGTAAATATGTACTATATATACAGCTGCAACATCACCTCTGCTGAGCATACCATGCATGTCACCTATCATCAGCCATAAGCTGTGATTTTAGGATGATGTATCGGTTCCAGCCAAGTTCATAGCTATCCCTCAGGGAGAGGGAGGGTAGCTAAAAGACTTAGTCAAATCCAGACTATCAAAGAATTACATTCCAGGATGAATCTTCTATTTATGAGCTTCCAAGGAAGATTTAAACTCAGGTAAATTTTTCAAGTTGTCACACACCACCAACATAAGATACACTAAGGTGTTGAGCAAGATGAATATAAGGAAGACCTTTTTCACACAGAAGAATGTAGACCTATGGAGCAGTCTACCGGCTCAGGCCGTGGAATTGAGAACAGTACAGGGCTTCAAAATTGCCCTGGCCAAGATTATTAAGAATAATTGAGGAATCCTACCCAGTAGGGTGCATCGTTAAAATTCAAATCGGTTTTTACTTTTCCTGGTAGATATTTTTTCTGTATCTATAATGGAGTAACAATTTTATTAGTAATTTTTTTATTGCTACAGTACATGTTTAGCTATGCAAAATCACACTTTTCTAACAGTCTCCATTTTGAATGACTCTTTGTTTTAATGTTTATTTGAACTTGTAAGTGTAAAGAAACCAATACAACCAGTGGGAAACTACATATCTAGACTCATTTAGACATTGTTGTGTTTGAAATATTGCAGCAGCTTTCCATATATTGGTGAAGTTTTCCCAAGTCAACGAATAATGGTAAGTACTGAGGACCAGCCGGTGCCATGGATCCAGCATCAAGTTGGCCAGGAGCCCCTTCTCAGCGAGTTGTCAACCCTCAGGGCAATACTTTGGCACTTGCAACAAATGAACCTCCTAGTGGAGGTCACAGACCAGTGAAAATATGATGTGAAAGCCATTTTTTAAAGATCTAACCACAAGGTTGCTGGCTTAGTGGTATAGAGCTTATGCTCAATAAGTATCCAGTGATTATCAGTAAGTAGGCCATTGAAACTAAACTCATTAATGCCTGGTAAAAAGCTTCAGGAATTGCCAGGAAAAGGATTACCAATGAGTCGGATTTGGAAAAATTTAATGAAAAGCTGGGTTGATTATTCGAAGTGCAAGTGTCCCCCTGTGACTTGCAATGAGGCAGTTGACTGCATGAGGCTATGATACAACTGTCCACATCAAATGTATCTGCCCCTGTGAACAGAAGCTACCAATGCTCGAACTAGCCTTTATTAAGGCTCAAAGAGTGGTCAGAAAAATCAACAGTTACCAGATGGGGTGCAACGATGCTGCCGAGACACCTGTCAGTACAACACTTAAGAGGAAGGAAGCTGAGGAGCAGAGGCTGAAGAAACAGAGAGCGAGGTCAGAGCAGGAAAAACAGTTGACTGAAAGTCAGATGGAGAAGCATGTATGTACAGTATGCATCATTTTTATCGTCTACTGTATTAAGTTTTTACTTTTTAATATCACTATTTTATTGAGTTATTTGGTAGATATAAGTACTCTAAGGTGCTCCTCTACTTAAGAACGTTCAACTTACAAACTTTCAGAGATACAAACATCATCACTGAGGGGGGTTACCTGCCAGAACAGGTGTTTAATGTGGATGAGACTGGATTATTTTGAAGAAAATTCCGGATAGAACAAACATTACCTAAGAGGAGAAGATTGAGCCAGGTTTTAAGGCTGTATTAAAGGGTATAGCTGTACTAAATATCCATAATCTTTTCATTTTTTTACAATATGTTTGATATCTACAAGAGTAAAGTTGGACTTACAAACAAGCCTCAGGAATGTAACTCGTTCGTAAGTAGAGGAGCACCTGTACTGTGAAAAAAAAAAAGTGGCAACTTTGCAGCAGTTGGCCACTGGCCATCCACATGGACTGTGATTGGAGAAATTTTCTTTGCTTATTCATAAATATTTATGGCAATTGATGCAGCTACTGATTTTTGTTATTTTAAAACATACAAGTATGAAAATAATATACAGGTATGTTCGTATTTATTATAAATACCAAAATTCTAAGTGTATGAAATGCCATAAATATTTGTAAGTAGGGTAATTGGGCACACCTAACCCAGCCACACAGCTCAGCTCACATGAACCTAACTAGCCAAGACGTTAACACTACCACTCCACACATGTATTGAGTTATATGCCTGAAAGGTATTATAGTTAGCCACCAAACAAGCAGGAATAGAATGATAGTGGTGGTGATACACAAGTCTCACATAAAGTTGTGTTAGAAGCTCTGTATATAAATTTTTTCTCCTAGGGGGAGGGGGGGCAACCGTGCTTAGTCTTAACCGTGCAAGTTAACTGCCTCTCAAACACGGTAAAATGGTCACAGTCAATTTGGACTTTGTTGGTATATAACACGACGAGTCCATTATTATTCCGGAACCTGATATAGCAGCCTTTCGGCTTTAATGGATCAGCCTTCCCCCCAATTAGTCTTTTATATTGAGGTTAACATCCCTTTATCCGCCATTTTGCATAACCGATGATTGCACATTGGAAAAATACCCCGCAAGTTTCGTTGATACCCCAAAAATCCGACTATCGGGAGAGCTGCAGAGCTGTTTTGAATTTGTCAAATATTTGCCACGAGAGGGCGGCTCTGCGTACAGCCCTGACTCATTCCTGCCATCTGTGCTCTTGTTTACACTTACTATGTGTCTCTGACTTCACATTTTTATTTTATTTTTTTCCAACTTAGTGTGTTACTCAATCATACCTAAATGCCCCAGTGACAGTTCCTCTTGTACTGCGTAATTTGATGTGATATGATAAGGCATATTAATGCGTAATAAGAGTGGTGTTGACCAGCAATGAATGGTAGAGACTTAAACATGCCACCCTAGACCGTCTCTACCATCCTCAACACAGGTAAATAACAGTCTCAAATTATTTTTTACATAGCTTATTTAAGGCTTATTATGCTTGCTTTATTTGTCTGCTTTATTTTCTTGCCTGACAGTGTGCACTACAGAGATATATCAAGGGTAGATGGGAGTTTTTGGAGGGTGGCCGGTCCCTAACTCGTTGAATTTGTTACGTTCATAATGGATTAATTGCTTCGATACCCATCAATTCACTAACCAAAGACTTTTCCCGGTCCCTATATGCATTGGTTATTGGAGTACACCTGTATGTCCACAAAAAGTTCATCTGGACAAAATAAACTGACAGAGCAATATTATTGTCCTCTGGGAAAGTTTAATAAAATAATAAAAAGGTTTTCTGACAGTACACAAGGCAATAGAAGTTTATGTTATAAAACATGAAGATAAAAAATACAAGAACATATATAGTACCTGTTAAGAAATTCTCTTAATCTGGGTTTCTTCTCAGTAATAATAATGACTCTTTCTTTAAACTTCATCAGTTACTACTGGGGTACAGTAATATCTCATATTTTCTACACAGTCTCTAGATGTTTTCCCAATAAGATACAATGTCTCCTAATACTGTACAGCACACATTTACCCACTGTAGTCAGAAGCAACAGAGCTTCTCTCCCTTCATATGCTGTTATTCCCTCTCCACACAAACGTCCTAAGACATTCATCTAGTTAACCTGAGCATCAACTTACAGGTAGTAAAGTTCTCTAAGGACGATAAATCTCCTCCTCCATCATCAGCATTCTCACTCTCATCCGGGAGTGTAAGCTTCTCAGTTTGCTCGTTCTTTGCTTCATTTTCTGCACTCTCACTTGATGCCCGGGCCAGAAGTAGCATCTCTGCCTCATAAGGGTCTGAAGGCATTTCATCCTGGATTTTCTGATGAGAAATAAATTGTACTTTAAAAAATTGCATAAGCTATTAATCTAGGTGGAGTATTTACTGAAAACAAAATGCTCAGTAAAAAAACTTATCCCTTTTTGTACAATTCATCCATTTGTTATTTAACTAAAAAATCAGTCAGATATGAGGAATCTTTTAACAAGAACATGACACCTACAAGTATTTACATATATAAGATATACAGTATACTGCACTGTACTATACTGTACCTTCATCATTCTTTTTATATCCTCTGAAGTCTTGGCTGTTGTAGGTATAAAGATTGGCACCGGAAGTGGTATTGGAACAAATAATGGGACTGGGTATGGTGCATTATACATCATCATTGGTGCAGGAACATAGACGGGAATAGGCACAGGAATAATGGGTGGTGGTTCAGATGTAAAGAGACTGCAGTTGATGCCTGATGAATCTGAAAATTAAAAGAAAAATATACAGTACAGGAACATAAAAATTTTTGCTTAAACTTGAAGCATAATTCCTTTGTGAAAGATTCAATAATTTCCAGAATTGAAAAAACATTTCCTTCCATAATAATGAATAATACATTTACCATCAGCAAATGCAGAGGATTCCCTTAAACAAAACTAATACTTTTACGATAAGTGAATAAAGAGAATACTGTACCTAAAAATAATACTGAATATACAAGTCTCAAATAATTTTGATTAAGTTTCAAGGATAGTCACTGGGTCTTTAATATTAGCATGTTGTGTCTTTGTCATTTTTTTAACATTTTGTAAGTACTGTATCAGTTTGGTGTACAAGTATACAACACTTGAGTAATAGTAAGGATTACTGTACAAATACTTGTACTGGATTGGTGCCATTTTCAGCCATGGCAGTCCAGGGTCAGGACACTAAAGTTCTAAACTGGACCATAAATAATTTATAAGTTGGAATGCAAAAATTCTGCAAAACACATAAATCTCAATCATGATCCATCAATTAGAACGGTTTGAGAAATATTCAAATTTTTCATGATCTGAATGCTAAACTGTATGCGTGTAAGTACAGTACTGTATTAAAAGGTCTTGCAATCTGGGGACTAGTAACTTTAATTCTCTGGTCCCTTTGAGCAAATAGAACCACAGGATTAATCTCTACCCCTAACTTTCAAACTCTAAATATATACTTGTCCCAGTTCACTGTGGCAAAAAAATACAGTATTCACATGTCACTTTCTAGTGTATGTTATAAATTCAAGCCCTACCAAATAAAGTGACTTTTAAGTCTAAGAAATGTAAGAAGAATATTGCAGTATGAATTAAAGTGTTATAATATTTACATTTATTCACAGACACCTAGTACTCTTCAGGCGCCTCTTTTTTTTCTGAAATGATCATCCTGCAACAGGCAATATATGCTAAGGTTATATAACACAACATTCCTCTCCCCTTCCACTTCATCAATTTATTTTTATTGTACAATATGTAACACATCTTAGTGTTATACATTTATTTAAAAAAAATTTCTCATCAAAGTTCCACCTAACACTATCGCTCCTTCTCCTACAATTACATTTATACTTGCTGCACAATGAATATTGGCTATTGTACAATACAGTGGTTCCTCAGTTAACGAACACAATTCGTTCCAGAAGGTCGTTCGTTTACCGAAAATTTCGTTAACCGAATCCATTGTTTCAATGGGATATTGGGTAATTGGTTCCAGCTCACCGAAAAGTACATACAAAGTAAAAAAAAAAAAAATGCAGTAAAGTACACTTACTTTGAGGTGTGTATGTAGAAGGCTCCTGGTTGATGATGATGATGGGAATTAGAAGTGGGGGTGGAGGAGAAGGGAGAAGAGAAGGAAGTGGGGATGGAAGAGAAATCACCCCATGCTTGATGCCGTCATTTCACCAATAAAATTTTAAGTTCACCGGGTGTAATTCAAGATTATTTTCTTTAAATCAACACTGCACTGTATTATATATTGTCAATATGTTAAATAAATTTCAGAAAGACCAATAATTGTACTGTAAAAACGTAAAAATACTCTGTGTTCAAGAGACCCACAAGCAAGATGTTTCCTCCACTGAACAGACACACAAACTGACGCCTTGGTGGGTGAGTGAAGTAGCTGATGGGCGCACCAAAAACTAGTTCCCTGTACTGTAATTATGTTAAATAAGTGTTAAAACTACTAATAATTTTAATATAAATCTTAGAAAAATATTGAATAACAACCTTCTTGATATTTACTCCAATGGAAACGAATAAAAGCCCTAGAACCGATTACTGTATTGGCGGACTAATCTTCCAGCTGGTGAGCAAGCCAAAACATGTTGACATGTTTTCGTAAGAATTTCGTTGATCGAATTTTTGTTCGTTAACCGAATTGAAGATTCTCATAGAAGGTAGTTCGTTATCCGAAATTTCGTTAAGCGAGGCGTTCGTTAGCCGAGGGACCACTGTAGTGACGTCTCCATTAGCAGGAACAACTGGAGCAAAGCATTTCCGGGAATGAGAGACTTCCGGGTAACGAGACAACTCTCTCAAAGCCGGAAAAAATCCCCCATCCCAAGAATTTTCAGAAAATTTTCCGGGTAACGGAAAAATATTCTTGGAAGTTCCAGAAATTACCCATTGTATAACATCTTTTGAACCCGGAAAAATATCCAGCATCCCCGGAATTTTTTTCTGAAATTCTGGAAAATGCGCCTATTTTTATCTCTCAAACACGGAAAAAAACTCCCCCATCCCAGGAATTTGCCGGGTACGTACTGGGATTTTTTTTTAGGAATTTTCCAGAAAATATGCCCCTTGGAAAATTATTCCCAAAGCCAGAATTTTCAAGAAATTCCAGGTTTGGGAATGATTTTCCGAGAAAATTTCAATTCCGGCTATCAGAGAGTTCCGGGTTTGAGGGATTCCGACTAATGGAGGTATACTGTACGTATTACTGTACAGTATTATCCACCAAACTTCTTGCTGGAAAGGTTAAGAGCTTACCTGTTTGAGTCTGTCTATGCCAGGGGTGTGGCTTACAGTACACGCCCTTTGTAAGAGTACTTGGGCGACAAGACGTCATCTTATTCACCATCGTGGGAGGGGTTAGCAGCTTTAACAATTCAGATGTTGCCTAAAAATTAAAAGAATATATGCCATAAACTTACTGTTCAACAATCCAACAATAAATTTTCAAATATATGAAACACAATTAACTGATTTATCTTAAAATTTTTAGCACATTATTATACCTTTTGTAAGACAATTACATTCACTGATGCATTATTTCAATTTCAACATTGCTGTTTGTGAGCAGTTGAACTCCTTATGACACATGACTTAATGATGAGGTTAACAGAGACAAAAAATGTGTGGCATCATATTCACTCCCAGGTGAGAGCCAGCCTTTAAATATTGCTGTACAATTCCAACTCATGTGTATCATCATGTTCAGGACATTTCTTTGACCATCAGAGCCAACACTACCAGATGTAAGAAAGAGTTACTCTCTCTTGGTTGATGGAAATGTCACTTCAATCTCTCCAGCACATTTTGCTCATCAATATAAAAGACTTTACATTAATCTTTCTAAAGTTATTAATTTCCAACATCCAATACTCAGTAATATGAACTCTTGGATCCCACTTTGAAAAATCATACAAAACCTTACTTTTATCAGGTTGTTTTATCATTGTATCAACAGCAAGGAAAACAATACTGTAAAATAACAAGTTTATATTAAGACAACAGTGTAACCTCTGACTAGTAGACTCAATTTAAGGGATCCCTCTCATTAAAGGACAATTTTCAATCCACTATTGTTGTGCACTAAGGAAAACTATCAAGGGTTTTTTCTGTTACAAAAATTATCTTTCATATGCATCCAGTACACTTCTTGTGCTGGTGGGTGAGTAATACACACTACCTGAGCATGTTCTGTTATGAACTACTTAGGCTAATTGGGTTGTGTCGGGAGAGGGTCTTGCAATTGGTGGCCTCTAAATAAGTTCCTCACACTGCTTCATACCAACAGGTGTTAGTGTGAGGAGAAGACTCTAAAACATTTAAAATATTTTTCCTTGGAATAATCATCATGCACATTTACTGTACTGTACTTATAAGAATACCAGAATGACCCAGTGCTGCGGAACTGCCAAAATAATACCTAAAAAAAGTCATAAAAGAAAGGCTCGGCTGCGAAGGTTACGATCACTACTCATAGGACTCGGAAAATACGATAGTCGCCCACAACACCTCTCTACCAAGACCTATTATAAGACTGACTGTGTAGGTATTGTATGACTACCCATTAGGACAATACTTACCCTTATTCATTATTTTTCTTGTTAATGATGTAAATCAAGGCTATGAGGATTACTTATCTGCAAGGTTTTACTGTAATAAGTTTTTTAAATTACATGTACGTATATCTTTTTCATCATATACTCGTATGCCTCCAGGGCCTGAAACATTGTGACCTTTAGTTAGCAGATGTCCTCCCATTACACAGCTTGCTGCAACAAGTCTGATTGATTGGTTCTGCTGTACAGTATTATAATTCACCATCACTGAGAATAAACATAATCGTAAATCACAGTCGTGAATATTGGATTATGGTTATGCAATCACTGCTCATAGTAAGAGTAATACAGTGATATCTCCATTAGGTGGAATAAGCGGTGCAGAACACTTCCGGGAATGAGAGATTTCCGGGTAACGAGACGAATCTCTCAAAGCCAGAAAAAATCCCCCTTCTCCGGAATTTTCCGGGTAGGTACAGGGTGGTGCAGCTCTAAAGGTAGCATACTAGCTATAGTATAGATGTAAAATTAGATGTAATTAGGCGAAAGAGGAGTGGGAGTGAACAATCCACCTAGTCCCACTTTCATCCTCCGACTGATCTTCTAACACCCACCTCCATCAATCAAAATATCTCTACCTTTGAAGCTAAGTAAATAAAAAAAAAAAAAAATTAATTATTCATTTTCAAAACACTATAATAAGTATTTTGTCTCAATGAACCACTGGTGTGAGTGTGCACCAGCAACGGTTGCTGCGGACCAACCTACTTTGCCTCAACACACCGACCCCAATGAACATTAAGACGTTAGATAACTTATAAAGTTAATTAATTTCTTAAATTAATGTGTCCTCAAATGTTTAACAAATGTTTCTAAGGTATATAATTGTAAAAAGATATCATATAATTTTTTGGAGTGTTGTGTACAATGTCATGGTCCCAATTTGACCTATTTCCATTATTTCTTATGGGATTAATTCCCCGCTGTAAGTGGATTCATTATCAGAGGTGTTTTTCCGGTCCCAATTAACGGCGGATAAGACCCCTATACTGTATATCTTATAATCTCTTGCTTTTGATATGACAAAAAATCAAAGCAATCAGTTAAATAAATACTGTACAGGTACACATATTTCCCCCCCCCCCTCAAAAAAATCCCAGAATTATTACATATATACTCAACTGTGGCAAATAAAGTCTAAGCCTATACCCATGTCAAATGGTGTGGTAGGAGCCTAAGATTTTGTGGAAATGAAGTGTGCCCATATTTTAAGGTGCAGGTAAATAATCATAGTTAGGAGCCACACATATGGTAGGTGTCTTTGTAGTCCTAGTTAAGGATAAGGCAGAAAAAGACTAAGTGAGCGGAGGAAAAAATAATCAAGCAAAGCTGATATTTTTGTTTTATAGAAATACTGTACCGGGATGGTAAAAATTAACCACTTTATGGTATTTTCCACCAAGCCCAATGGTCTTCAATACCAATTTGTTTCTTTTGTGTTGCACCATCTTCGTATAACAGAACACAGCAAATAGGAAAATGAGCTTGTATCCATCAATAAAGTACAGTATAGTCTTCATTTACGCGGTCAATTGAACCTGTGGAGGTCCGCGTAAAACGAGAAATGCTTAAATGAAATAACAGAAAATATGGGATTAATTGAAATAGAGACTCGGCCGACCCCCAAACTACACTTTTTCCGACACAATACGTACGTTATAGTAAAAATAACATCTTAATTTTATGATGGTATGCACACACAATTAATATTTAAGAGAAATATCAATAACATGAGGTTTTTTAACACTTACGTTAGTAGAAAAGATGGCTGGGCACACGGGGATGGGGGATTGGTTCCGAGGCAGAGGGCAGATTATTGGCCCTCACCTGTATCACTTGTATCAATTGTATCACTATTCACCACAGAGGCTTGCAGGGCCTCTTTGTCATACCCCTCAAAGTCCATATCCTCACTATCACTGATTTGGGCCAGCTGTGGTGGGTGGCGGGTGAAAAACTCGGTAATGTTTTGTTGACTGGGCGACCTTGTGCGCACCCTGCCAGCGCCGCTTCCCGCGTAAATGATGGAATGAACCGTGTAAATAAAAATTGTCGGTCTGGCAAGGTGCCGCGTAAATGACCAAACGCGTAAACCAAATCCGCGTAAATCGAGACTATACTGTAATTGTGAAAGGAAGCATAAACTCTACAAAAAAAAGCAACTCTTTCATGCACTATACAGCACCACCTTCTAAGCTTGATGTTAATGAGTTTGAGACAATGATCTGCAAAAAAGTTCTTCAGTGGCATGCAGTTATGTAGTGTACAGTATGTGAAGCCTCAAGAGTACTACACACAGTTTAACTACACAAAGCAGTGGTTTTCCTATAAAAAAAAGCACCAAAAGCCATAAAACAAATAAAAAAATACATGACAGTGAAGATAAAGTAAAAATGTACATACGGAATGTAGTTCAGAATTTTGAAGTGCCTGTTCATCTCTCTGAAGAATATAAAGATGAACTCAATTGTTTTGTGACTGTATCAGTTCTATGGTTGAAGTCAAACATACTCACATATCAGCAATTATACATCCATCATTTACCCAAACAACACATCAATAATATTGTCAAGATTAATTGCCTACAATAAAAGGCAGCAAAGAAAAAATAATAATAAAGCATGGCACTATAAAAGAAGTTGCTGCACAACATATGGATTAGTGTAAATAACTACATTTGGTAAATGTTAAAACAAGTAACTATTAACATCACAGCCTCCAACCAAACAATGACATACTGTATGGTTATCAGTCTCAGCCATAGATACTGGATCACATTACAGGATGCTTTTCCTTTGTACCGAGTTTAAACCATATTCATTTGTGTTAGAAATGTGACCCCTTGAAAATACTGGATGGGGAGGTGAAACTACACCTCTCGCCACCATCCTGGGCTGTCAACCAGTTGGAGCACATTTCCAGAGTGACTCCCCGTATGGTTTTTCCACCCTGTCATATATCCATCTATCAGACTTAATGCTATTGGCAGAACAGGCTTCCCACAAATGATAGCATACTGTGCCCTAGATTGGGGACGCACAGCCAGCGGTCCCACGCCCAGCTGATGAAGTTTGGTTGAACAATAAAACAGACATGCTGTACAGCAGGAAGAGGTGGACAGGCTAATTATTGCCCTTGAAAAAAAAAGTAGTGAGATGAGAGTGAAAGCAATTATGGAGGAAGGAATGGTAAGGCAGAAAGGAAGAAAGCAGCCAGTATCAAAACTTAGTCCTAGGGTTAGTCTGGGAAGACCATGGGAAGGAAGTGTGCTGACAGACAACAATTCAGTCCATTAGCAGATATGATAAGAACTTTACTCCAGAAAGCTGGCATTGGTCTCACTTTTTCTACAAGCACAGCCTCAGCCTTTCTGGACCACATAATAATTTGAGGAAGAGCCCTTCTTATGTCTTGGAGCACACAAGTAATGTTTTAAGATAACAGAAAAGTCAAACCTCATAGTATTTTTCGTACAAAATATCAATTTATTTTAATATTATCTTCTCACTACCTTAACAAATAATTGAAAAAATTATGAATTATTTATTTCTAAAGTACCAGGTAAAATAGTGTTTATGTTGACTTTAAGTTTGCTCCAGGACTGGACCCCTGGTTTTCATCATACAGCTTACCATCTTACTCAGGGAAAGCAGAGCAGAACAGAGCAATATCTTCCAGCATTGGCACTTGCTGGCATAGGAAGCCCATGTGTGTACAGGATCAGCAGTCTCTGGGGGTCCAGGTGTTTGGACCCAACCAATATTTCTATAAGCTAAAATTATTGAGCTGTGTTAAGACGTGATGACAGTTATGTACAGTAGACTCACAACTTACGCGGGGGTTACATTCCTGGGACCCCGCGCAAAGCCAAAAACCGCGTAAAGTCAGAACACTCCTAAAAATCCCCTAAATCGCTCTTAAATCACTATATATACGTACATATACACTAGAACTCATAAATCACTACTGTAATGTAATTTCAACATCTGTAACAAATGCATAACAGCATTAATAGAATACAGACATTATGTAGACAGAGATGTGTTGTTGTTTTGAGATTATTCATCTCCTTCCCACGTCACCGTGAGGGGATCGTCAAGGTCAGATAACGATGCAGGGGTAATCCGCGTAAGTTGCGAGTCTACTGTATTATATTCAGCCGAGTGAACAGTGTCTGCCTACTCTACGCTCAAGACGACACGATCTGATGGCGAGTACAGTACCGTATATACATTATAGTAATACTGTAGTATACATTATTTTGTTTACAGTATTAACAATATTGCACAAGTACAGTAGTGATGGTGTAAATAAATACTGTACAGCTCCTGCGAGATGCGTAGTTTAGACTCCTGTGAAGTGTAAAACACCATTGTCTATACTGGAACACAGCTCCATTCATGCCTGTATCATATAGACTTTTTGTTTTGTTTTTTAAATATATTTATTTCACCAAACTTTTAGATAAAGTATTTAGGGTTATTCTTGAAAAGAAATGGAGTTTCTAACTTAATTAGAACTGCTTTTACAGACTCCAGTAGTTTAGACTCTTAGAAAACTTTCCCCAGCGCCCAGAAACATTCTGAGGATGTGGGCTAGTGTGTGTCTGTGCAAGCGTAGTTTAGACTCTGAAACTCTTTCCAGTAACGGGAAAAAATTCTGGGTTTAAGAAATTTTTCTGGTTGAGAAAGTCGTATGGATACCTGGAAATCTCTTACCTAGAAGTGCTCTGCACCAATTTCTCCAGTTAACGAGGATACCACTGTGTGTGTGTTCAGCTGGGTAAAAAAATCTGATTAATATATACAGGGGTGGTCCCTCGATTAATGAACACAATTGGTTCCAGAGTCGTTCGTTAACCCCCCAGTAGGTAGTAGGCAACTACCAAATAGGGAGGTTCTACCGCCTGGGAAGATATTGGAAGCATAATGTATTGTCTAATGGTAGACCCTGCTGCCATATGTGACCAAGTCCCAGGTAGTTCATCTGACTTTCTGCCACATTTACACACAATTGCAGGGTCTCAATTGTTTCTCTTAACACTGACAACACAACATACATGTAAATTGTTTCTCACTATTGATCTCTTTTTATGTTATTTCTTTATTATTATTATTGCAGTGTTATTATTATTATTATCATTATTATTTTATTTTTTTTATTTTTGTATTTTTTTTTAATTTTACTTATCTGAATTATTATTATTATTATTATTATAATCATCATAATTATAATTATTATTATTATTATTATTAGTATTACATTTTCGCCCCCCAGACCCCGATGTGGGTTAGTGACCTGTGCCCAGGTGGGCTAATCCCTGTTAAAAAAAAAAAAAAAATTGTTAACCGAATCTATTATTTCAATGGGATATTGGGTAATTGGTTCCAACTCACAGAAAAAGTATAGATACAAAGTAAAGCCAAAAATGCATAGTCAGAAACACTCCTAAAAATCCCCTAAATCACCCTTAAATCACTTTATATATATATATATATATATATATATATATATATATATATATATATATATATATATATATATATATATATATATATATATATATATATATATATATATATGATACCACAACATATTCTAAACTCATAAATAATCCTCTCAACACTGTCAACACCCAGTTCAACAAAAAACTGAAGTCCCTATTGAGAGGCAAAGCTACGCTCATTAAACATCTTACTTCAACTTCCCCTCCACTGCCATACATGCACGGTGTAATCAAGACCCACAAGCCCAATAACCCAGCAAGACCCATCATTAGCTCAGTTGGGTCAATCTCTTATAAACTATCTAAATGGTTAGTTTCTTTACTAAATCCCCTAGTTGGCAACATTTCTAACTCCAATATCAAGAATAATATGGATCTGGTTGATAAACTCAATAACTTACACATTAATCATGATTTTAAACTGGTCAGCTTTGATGTAACGTCACTCTTTACAAAGGTCCCAGTTGATGATTTACTAGAGTTCCTCATAGATTCCCTGGATAACATTTCACTGCCCGTCTCGAAAGACGACTTCATCGAACTCATCAAACTATGTATTAAGGATTGCAAATTCGAATTCAATGGGGAATATTATGCTCAAAAATTTGGTATGGCAATGGGTAATCCACTCTCACCTGTATTAAGCAACCTATATATGGAATTCTTTGAAAAGAAACTATTAAGTAATATTTTACCACCCTCAGCAGTCTGGTTTAGATATGTTGATGATGTATTATGTCTCTGGCCATGTAATGAGGACCTAAAAGCTTTCCTACCACAACTTAACAACTTAGCCCCCTCGATCAAATTCACTGTGGAATTAGAGCAAGACTGTAAATTGCCATTCCTAGACTGTCTGATACACAGAATAGGTAACACTTTTAAGTTCAGTATTTATAGAAAACCAACTAATATGTGTTCATACATTCATTATTATTCTGCCCACCATAATAAAGTCAAACAGTCAGTATTTTCAACAATGTTTTTACGTGCCTTGAGAATTTGCAGTCCGGAATTCATCGATGAGGAATACAAATATATATATAATATTGGCTCAAACCTTAAATACCCTAGATCTTTCATAGACAAATGCTTAAACATTACTAAGAAAACTTTTTATAGAACTGACCCTAAGCCCACCCATGACCATAAGAATATCTTAATATTACCATTTCACAAAAATTTCTCACACATTCCTGCACAGCTAAAAACCTGGAACGTCAATGTGGCATTTAAAAACTCAAGCACTGTTAAACAAATGTTAATCAAGAACTCCCCCAACAACACAATTGGTTGCATTTATAAAGTTCCTTGCAAGGAATGTAATATGTTTTACTTAGGCCAGACAGGTAAAGATCTTGCAACTAGAATTAAACAACACAAATACAGTGTTAGGACAGGCCAGGAATCCAATGCTCTGTTTGTTCATTTGAGGGATAACAAGCATTGCATTGACTGGGATAATGCCTCCTCAATATTACCATGTAAGTCAATTGACAGTAGGAACATCATAGAATCTAGTCTTATTAAACATACCGAAGCATTCAACATGAATTTGAGTAACGGCATGTACAAGCTGGACAATTTTGTAATTAAGAAGATTTGTGATCAGGTGAGAAGGCCGGGTCACTTGACCATCTGACCTGACCACCAACCGTTGTGTGCTATTTAAAGATTAGTAGGGTCATTACCTAATACCTGACCATTGTGGACCTGGTCTCACCCTCCTCTGTATATATACACCTTGATTTGTATTACTCTCTCTAGTCTGTACTCACCCCTGAAGATGTGAATTACACGAAAGCGCTTGGGAACTTCGTGTTTTCTTCTTTCCTTGTGGTTATCAGCATATACCTAGATCACGCGCACCTACAGTGATTTACTTGCATGTATATATATATATATATATATATATATATATATATATATATATATA